TGACTGGCCCCTCTGTCTCCCCACCTCTGCAGGGAGTTGGACGACCAGATCCAGGCCAATCTCCCTGATGAGGTGCGTGCCACCCCTGTGCCTTCCTCCTCTGCCTCATCCTGATTATATCCTGGGGACCTGGGTGTCCTGGCTCCTGGGCTCTGGCTGGAACCATAAAAGTAATCCCAATCCCTCATCTGCCCAGGACTTTATAGTTTGCAAAGGACTTAGAGATAGTGGTAGTGCGGTGTTCCTGAGATCTTCTCTGTTCTAGGTCTGTGCTGAGCTCTTTACTTGGTCACTCCGTTTCTTCTACAACGACCCTGTCAGGGTGCTGTCACCATTTCCCCCTTCAGTGAGAAACTCAAGTTCAGAGAGGTTAAGGAACTTGCCCAAGGCCTCACTCCCGTCACTGAGCTGAGATGCGCCCTCCCTCAGGCCACAAAGCCCTGGGCAGGAGGAAAGTGGGGTCTAGATTCCCACTTTACAGGTGACGAGAGTGAGGCTCAGAGATGCAATAAAGTGGGCACATGGTGATGGTGGTCCCAGACTCGCCCCAGCTGCTATCCGTGCAGGGGCCTGGCTGGAACACCCCTGACCTGCTCTCCCCCTTCTCCATCCAGCAAGTGCTCTCAGAAGAAGAGATTGATGAGAACTTCAAGGCCCTCTTCAGGCAACTGGCAGGGGAGGTAGGCTGGGTGGGGTGGAAGCGAGGGGCCCTGGGGCGCCAGGGGACAGCCTTTCCCCAGGGCGGGTGCCATCCTCCCTCCTCCCCCAGGACATGGAGATCAGCGTCAAGGAGCTGCAGACCATCCTTAACAGGATCATCAGCAAGCGTGAGCATTCCCAAGCTGCAGCTTTCTACCCTGTGTCCTCACTTCCTCCAAACTCCAGAATCTAAGCCTCTGTTCCCATGTTGGGCCAAACCAAGCCCTTGGTCTCTGTGGGTAGGGGGAGCCTCCACCACCTTTCTTTTCCTCCCAGACTCCTTCCACTCTCTTGTAGGGCCCTGTTCCCCAGGCCCAAGTGCTGTGACTGGTGTGGGTGGAAGCTGAGCTGCTGACAGTACCACAGTACAGGGACAGGCCCCCTTCCTCCAGAAGATATACCCCAAGGCCAGGCCAAATGGCTTCGAGCAGAATGAGGCATTCGAGCAGAATGAGAATTATTTCCCAGAGTGCACAGCTAAAGGCAGCACCCCCTTCCTTTGCCCCCACCTCTGCCCTCCATCCACACCGTTTCCTCAGCCCAGACCCCTCCCTTCTTGTCCTCTTTGGGGCCTGCGGCAAACCCCAGCCCCGCCGTGACCACCGTGGCCTCACACTGTGAGGCCTTCTACTGTGTTTGTCCTATTTCCATTCAGCACTGATTTCCTTTCATTCTTGGCTCTTGGTGGCAGGGACACAGCAGCTGGAACACTTGCTTGATTGCTCAAATACTTTAACCCATGCTAACGATAAACATGATCAGACACACCCACTCTGCTAGACTGTCCACACCAGGCGCCAGAAGCGGGCATCCCTGGGCCCCGTCCCTCCCGGCACCCCCAGCACAGGGCAAGCTTGGAAAGCTCAGTGGTTAAGGGGCTGGACCCGATTTTCTTGCAGACAAGGACCTACGTACCAAGGGCTTCAGCCTGGAGTCATGCCGCAGCATGGTGAACCTCATGGACGTATCCTTTGCTCTTGTTTCCTGAGGCTACTTTGGGTTGCGGGGGCGGGGGGGGGCATGCAGAGCGGGGTGGGGGGATACCCCGTGATCTCTCCTGGGAACACAGAGGAAGAGACAAAGCTCTGTCGAGTCTGGACAGACCAGTTCTTTTCCTGGGCAGCTTCCATTGACTGGGAGAGGGAAACAGGCACAGGCTTTGTGTGGAAGGAGAGGTAGGGCAGGGCCTAGGTCCTCTAGTGATTTTAAGGTTGGTGCTTTCTGCACCCCTCCCAGCCCAACACAGCAGGCTGTGCCCCTTTTCATTCCCCTCATCTTGAGGCCAGCCTCCCCTTCTTCCCAATTGTTCCCTCACCCTATGCCTGGTTTAAGCTTGTTCTTTTACTTAATAAAGATTTTATTTATTGGAGAGGAGAGAGAGAGAGAGAGAGAGCATGAGCTGGCGGGGGGTGGGGAGGGGCAGATGGAAAGGGACAAGGAGGCTCCCTGCTGAGCAGGGAGGCCAATGTAACTTGAGGCTTGATCCCAGGACACTGAGATCATGACTGGGGCCAAAGGTAGACCCTTCACCAACCAAACCGCCCAGGTACTCCTGGTTTAAGCTTCTTAACAGTAGCGCCCCAGAGGGATGGCAATGGGAAGCTGGGCCTGGTGGAGTTCAACATCCTGTGGAACCGCATCCGGAATTACCTGGTAGGTGGTCCCTGGTCCCTGCCAGCCCCTCAGCGCCTCAGCCCCATCCATGAGGTGTGGGCTGCAGGCTCCCGGGCCGGGCTGCCTGTCCAGATCCCAGCCCCTGGCCCACCATTCGGGTCCCTCCCCGGTACCTTTGGCAAGCCCCCACCCTGGCTTGGACCGGAAGGGCTGGGTGCCTCCCTTGGCCTGGGCCTCACCCTCTGTTCCCCACTCCAGTCCATCTTCCGGAAGTTTGACTTGGACAAGTCGGGCAGCATGAGTGCCTACGAGATGCGGATGGCCATTGAGTCTGCAGGTAAGGCCTGAGGGCTGGATGCCCCCTTGCAGAGCCCCAGACAGATGGCTCCAGGCTGACTCCATGTCATGACCCAGGGTGGCAGCCCACCACACCAGCCCTTGGGGTGGTGATGATGATGGGGTGTGGCAGTAACAGCCATCTTCTGCCGTCTTCCCATGATGACCATGCTGATAAGTGCTTTATCAGCATTTCTATTTGCCCTCAACTGCAGCCTAACAGGGGAAGGGTCTTTACTATCTCCACTGTACAGAGAGGAAAGTACGGCTCAGAGAGGGAAAGAGACTGGCCTGTGGCCACACAGCCAGGGAGGGGCGGAGCTGGGCTCCAGAGCCTCCGATGAGAGAGGTGCATGTCAGGGCTTTCTACACAAATAAAACTGGACCCCTTGGGCCCTCCCTGGCCAGCTGATTGCCTGGAGTAGTCAGGCCCTCATTCACTCTGCAGCTGGCACTTGCTTGCCCAACTGCTCCCAGCTCCTGCCCCTACTCAGGGGGTCTTCATGCCTCTAAGCTTCAGGGCTCTCCCTGCCCAGCCCCAGTCCCCCTGCTGTCCCCTCAGGCCAGGCCACGCCTCCCTGGCCCTTACCCACTCTCCTGGGCCAGGCTTCAAGCTCAACAAGAAGCTGTATGAACTCATTATCACCCGCTACTCGGAGCCAGACCTGGCCGTGGACTTTGACAACTTTGTGTGCTGCCTAGTACGCCTGGAGACCATGTTCCGTGAGTGCCCCATCCAGCTCCTGTCTCTAGCTCTGTCTTCTGTAAGCTGGGGGGAACAACAGGTGCCATGGCATGTGCTAGAGAGGTGAAGGTCGCTGCACCTGGAAGGCTGGGTGCCAGGAGGCTGGGGGTGTGGGGACCTGGCAGCAGGGGAGGGCTCGGGCTTCTGGCAGTCACAGGTGAGGCCTTGGGATACTGTGGGGATGTGTGGGGAGGGGCAGGGGACAGAGGGGTTCCTGGCCCTGCCTGAACGTCCCACTGATTTCTCGATGCCAAAACCTCTTTTGAACGCAGGGTTTTTCAAAACTCTGGACACAGATCTAGATGGAGTGGTGACTTTTGATTTGTTTAAGGTGAGAACTTTCCTTGGCTGTGGCAGGGTGTTTGGGGGTAGTAGAGCTCTCCTACCTGCCTAGGACAGGAGCCCATGGCCTCAGAACCAGCCCTAAAAGCCAGGCCTCCAAGTCCTGGAGGGATGGGATGGGGTTGTCTTGGTACCGGGAAAGGAGCAGGAAGGCAGGGCCAGGCTGCTGGAGGTCTCTGTGGGAGCCAGCACCCTGATCTCCCAGGGCTAGAGGTAAGAAAGTTCCCCCCCCCACCCCGAGGCATCCCTTCACACCTGCCCTCAGGGGGTGAAGAGACAGTGGCTTCCGGGCTGGGAGGCTGGACTTAACGTTTCTACTGTCCCTGGCTGACTCGTCTGTCTGCCCTCCTCTGCAGTGGTTACAGCTGACCATGTTTGCATGAGGCAGGGGCTCAGGTGCCCTGGCCATGTTCCTCTCCTTCATCTGCCAAGCCATGCCTTCCCGTCATGCCACACCAGGCCACACCAGCTGCAAGTGCCTTCCTCGGAGCAGGAGGTGGCCTTGGCCTCCTGTCCCCTCAACTCCCAGCTGCCGTGCTCATCTGCTCTGTGCAGAGCTGTGTGGCCTTCCCTACCTTCGCCAGCCAGGGGCTCGGGTGGACTCCCCGCCCCTCCCGTCGCCAAACGAGGAAGGCAGCTTTTGCTTGTTCCTGCCTCAGGATGGGGCTCCTGGGAGAGCTGACAGCCCCAGGCCTCCCAGCGTCCTGATGTGTCCTCTCGCCCCACCCGAGGCCATCCACCTAGCCTACCCACCTGGCCTCAGCTGCAGCAGACTCCAAACCATAACCACTAGCTCTGCATGGTCTATAATCCAGATGTGCAGGGCCCTTCTCAGCGGAGACCACCTCCTGGGGCTGGGCACACCCAGCCCCCTTGTGCAGAAGCCAGTGCCCCTCGCCTCCGCAGCTGCCCCCCAGCCCTGCCCCACCTGCCAACAAGGAGCCACCTGGACTGAGGGGTAGCCAGGTGTTCGGTCCCTCGCTCCCTCCTTTTTTATATTGGTGATTTTAAAGGGGACTCTTCAGGCACTGGTGTACCAGTAATGGGGGTGCCAGAAGCACCTGGGTGTGGGATGGGGGTGGGATCTCATATTTCCATGCAGAGAAACCCCAAACAATAAAGGAAGAGGCCCCAGATATGTCTCTGGAGTATATTTTTGCCCAAACCTGCTGCCAAGGAAGGCACCAGCAGGTGTTGACCTGCAGGGACAGCCTGGGTCCTCACAGCACCCTTGCCTTGCTCTCCATCGCTTTCCCTGATGCCCTGAGGGCTTTCATCCCTGCTGGGGTACCTAGGGAAGCTGGGGCCCCAGGTGCAGGGGCAAGGCCATACTGCTGAGGTCCCATGCAACCCTGCGGGTCCTATACACCCTCCTCACAGCCCCAGGGGCCCGCCCCCTGCCCTCCCTGTACACTCCAGCTGAAATCCGAACACCTCCTGAGCACAAACCTGACCCCCCAGGAAGCTCCCAGAACACAGAGCCTCTTTCACCTGGACACCTGCAGCTTATGTAAGCAGCTCCAGCCCCTCTGGGGTCCTGACTTTTCTTACCACAGATAAGAGTAGGTTGAGGTGAGGATAGAGGAGGAGGTAGGACAGTGGGAAGTGGGGGTGACGGGGCTAAGCCACACACTAGGGCAGCATCTGCAGGGCAGAGGCTGACAGCGCCTAGGTTAGGGGTGGGGGCTGCCCTCAGTGGCTGGGAGCCCCAGGTGGAGCCCCAAGTGGCAGACTTCCTGGACACTGCTCACCACAGGCTGGCACCGGGCCTGGACCCCGTCCTGAGCCTGCATGTTGCCCTTGGGAGTCCTAGACTGGGTCCCGAGCCTGGGCGTCCTGTCAGTAAGGTGAATGCCCATCACTTCCTGGGAGTCTGGGCTGGGTTGTGAGAGGACCAGGTAGGGGCCTGGGAGCACGGGAGTACTGGGCCTCACCCTCTTAGCTCCCCATGTGGGGTTTTGTTTGATGGAAGGGTCAGAATACTGATCGGGCGGCCCGACCCTCTCACTGACCCCCACGCTGAGGCTGAGTGCCTGGAACAGAGGCAGGAAGACCAGGGGTTCCCCTTAACTGCCCTGCTTGAGCATTTTTAAAGGATTCCACCCCCACCCCACCCCAGTTTCTCCTGTGTGGCCTCTGACTTTTCAGGGCTTGGGGGACGGGGACTGGGTCCTGTGAGCTGAAGCTAGATCTGGCTCTTGAAGATGCCTCCCAAATGGCCTCCAGAATAAAGGGGAGGGTGATGATAGAGCCACAATTAGTGCTAGGGTCCTGCTGGGGTGGCTGGGCCTCCAGCTCTGGGCAGCGGGCTATGAGGTGGCCCTCTGGGACCCTTGGTTTTCTAACCAGGGAGTCAGATTGAGAAAAATGAGAAAGGTCCTGGAGGGAGGGGGAGCCCTGCAGACATGGGGACATCCGAGGCCTCCTGTGAGGTGTAACTGGACCCCTCCGACCTGCTGGACATGGGGCATCTGTGGTCCTGACCCCGGCTCTCTTCCTCCACCTCCCAGGGCCCGTCCTTTACATAAGGCCCCAGCAGGCTGGGCCCTGGGCCAGGCCCTCAGCCATGGCCTTCACAGATCTGCTGGACAGTCTGGGTGGTGTGGGTCGCTTCCAGCTCATCTACACAGCCCTGCTGCTGCTGCCTTGCAGCCTGCTGGCCTGTCACAACTTCCTGCAGAACTTCACAGCTGCCGTGCCCCACCACCACTGTCGAGGCCCCACAAACCACACTGCGGCCGCCACCAACACCTCGGGGGCCTGGCTGAGGGCCATCGTGCCCCTGGACCAGCTCGGGGCCCCTGAGCCATGCCGGCGCTTCACAGAGCCTCAGTGGGCCCTCCTGAGCCCCAACACCTCTGCCCATGAGCCGGCCACAGAGGGTTGCAAGGATGGCTGGGTCTACGACCGCAGCGTTTTCCCATCCACCATCGTGATGGAGGTCAGTGGGGGCCAGGGTGGTGTGGGGGGCTGCCCACCTGAGGCCGAGGCTGGAGTGCCCCTCTCTCCCCTGCAGTGGGATCTGGTATGTGAGGCCCGCCCCCTCCGAGACCTGGCTCAGTCTATCTACATGGCAGGGGTGCTGGTGGGTGCCGCCGTGTTTGGCAGCCTTGCGGACAGGTGAGCCTTTAGGGAGGAGGGCCCAGCCACCCGAGCCTCTCTATTAATTTTACGTTATTGCAGTGTATTTGTATATAGATACTACGTTCCCGTGGTTCAAAATTCCAGAAAGTATAAGAGTCTGCAGGGAAGCGCCCCTTTCCTGCTCCTGCCCCACCATCCAGTAATTTCTAGAGGGCATCCTGGTTTCTGTGCATCTACCAGAGATGTTTTTGCGATTTTGTGGTTTTACATGATCCAAGCCAACAATACATATGTTCTGTCCCACCTTTATTATTACAAATGTCGGCATACCCCACATGTGCTTCTGTACCTGGCTTTTACTTCATGTTAAGGCCTCTGCATGTTCCTTTAGAAAGCTTTCTGGTCCTCCCTACCTCCCTACTGAATTCTACTGCATGGATGACCAGAACGAAGCATGATGGTTCCTCATGACAGGCAGCAGCCCTGCTAGAGAGACACCAGGGAACACAACATAGCACATGGCTCTGATGAGGTCGTCTCCACACCTTCTCTGTCCTCTCTTCTGCCTCCTCCCTTCCTTCATCCTCCACAGCTCCGGGGGGCCTGCCCCAAACCTGGAGGGCAGACTGGCTCCTGTGCAGCATGCCTCAGGCACCTCATGGGCAGCTCTGTCATGACCCTGGTCACTCTGTGTCACAACACAGCCTGGTCTTCCCAAGTAGGAGCTGTATCTTACCCATAGTGTCACATGTGTTTGTCACCAGCCCCCAGAGCAGGACTGTTACTTAGAGGTGAACGATGCAGGTCTGTGTCAAAGAATGAATGAGTGAACACGTGAGTGTATCATGGGGCATGTAGGGAAGAAATGCTGTCCACTGCCTTCATGGCCTGCTGCCCTCCAGCCACACCAGACCCTCACTTCTGAATGGAGCAGTGGCAAGGCCAGACTGGGATAACCCTGATGCCCTGAACCCTGACCTTCAACCCCTTTGTGGTGTGACAAGCCCCCGACCCCCCTGACCTCCCCAACACCATCAGTTCAAATGAAGACTTGACCCTGGGGTCCTGCTCCCACTGGCCCCTAAGTCCTGGTGGGTGGCCTTTGTCCAACCAGAAGTTCACTCGGGACCCTCGCACCAACTGCCCTACCTGCCTCTGGACCTTTGCAGAATCCCTGCCTTTTCCCTAGCCTGGAAGATTAGGAGCTGGGTTGGGAGACCAGACATACTCCTAGAGTGAGGGGACAGAGAGAAAAGGTACCTCTTTATGTCTAGTTCTGTTCCACACCTGTTCACGGCAGTTCTCCCTCCCTGACCAACCTCTGCTGTCGATGCCTGGGGCCCAGCGGACACACCTGTTCTGCTAGGAGGGGGCGGCCTGGGGGGCAGCTTCCCCCTGCCCTCCCCCAAGGGCCCCCACAAGGGACCTCTCTGCCACCTCCGGAAGCTAACCTGTGCCTGGCTCCTGGCTCAGGCTGGGCCGCAAGGGCCCTCTGGTCTGGTCGTACCTGCAGCTGGCAGTTTCAGGGGTCGCCACGGCCTACTTTGGCTCCTTCAGCGCCTACTGCATCTCCCGGTTCCTGATGGGCATGACCTTCTCTGGCATCATTCTCAACTCCCTCTCACTGGGTGAGTCCAGCCAAGCAGGGGCCTGGGTTGGGAGGGTGGCTCACGGAAGGGGGGATGGCTCCCTATCAGCAGACATCATTCCTGTTGCATTGTGATGGGATTCTTACCCAGTAACTTCAGCTCAGGACCCCACCGGGGGTTCTTGGGTGACCTGGACTCTCAGCCATGGCCCTGGGTTGAGATTTGCCCATCTGTACTCTGAGAGGGTTGGGTTATTTCCTCTGTGCAATAGTCAACACTAACCACTTTGTGCGCACCTACTGTATACCATACTTAGTAAGCATCTACTGTATGCCAGGCTCAGGGTGGGGACATAGCAGGGACCCGAGACACAGTGGTCCCCAAGGTTGCAGGCAGCCCCAAGGGTATGTGGTTCCAAAAAAAGGCAGGGCTCACCTGGGCTGCAAAGGTGGTGACTCCTTAGCATCGTGGTGGAGACCTGGCCCCCTGGAAGCCAGGTGGGAATGTCCCCCACTCCCAAAGTAACAGGGTCCGTCCCCACTGAGGCTGGTTTCAGGTAGCTGCAGGTGTCTCTGGCATGGAGCACTGTTAGTATGTTGGAAGGAATAAATGCTACAGATGAAGCTAAAGCCCAGAAAGAGAATAAGCAAGCAGTGAGTGGGGGGTGTGGAGTGGCCAGGGAAAGTCCTCACTGAGAGGGGTCCGAGCAGAACTTGCAGGAGGGAGAAAGTATGCCCCACAGCTATCTGGGGGAAGAAGATTCCAGGTAAAGGCCCCAAGGGACCTGCATTTCTAGGGGGCTCAAGAGGAGGGGGTTCTTGTGGCTGGAGCAGAGCAGGGAGGGGAGTGGTGACAGGAGGTCAGGGAGTTGGGGGTCAGATCCTTAGATCCTGTGGCCATTTAGACTATGCCTTTGACTCTGAGTGAGACAGGAGCCCCTGGAGAAGCCCAAGCTGAGGAGAGGTCTGACCTGATCTGACTTAGTACCTGCCAGGATCCCTGTGGACCCTGCAGTCACCAGCAAGCGGCAGACTGGCTTGGGCCAGGGGGTAGCAGGAAGAGGCAGGAAGGGCTCTGCTGGCTTCTGTTGGTAGAAGCAACAGGATTTGCTGATGGACCAGACACACGGCAGGAGCTGGCGGCTCATGGAAAAGGAGTGTCCTCATTAATTTGTTACAGTTGCCTTGTGAGAATGTGCATGATTTATTAACCAGTCCTCCATGCATGGACATTTAGGTTATTTCCAAGTTTTGCTGTTTACAAAAAAAAAAAAAATCATGTTATTAAGAGCCATTATATTTCTTTTCCTACCAACTATTTACCTGTTGGTTTTTTTTTTTTTTTGGTTTTGTTTTTTTTTTTTTGCCTTTTTGTTGTTTTCCTATCGAAGTGTAAGAACCCTTCCAGTATTAGGGTAACTCATAATTTACCTTTAAATTTGAGTTGCAAATTTTTTGTTTGTTTACTTATTTTTGCTAACATTATGACTTGACTTAATGGTATTTGCTTTTTTTTTTTTTTAAGCCTGTCAAGGTATTTGTTTTCATATGTACTCTTATTTTCATAAAGTCAAATTTGTTGATCTTCCCTTTTATTGCTTCTGGGTTTTGTGGCATTTTTAGAAACGACTTAACTGACTCTAAGATTGAAAAAAAATCGCCATGATTTTTTCTAACATTCTTGTGGTTTTTATTGGTTATATTTAGTTCTTTGGTGCACCTGTGTCTCAGCAGATATCTGGAAAACTTTCAAGTAGCCAGAGTCGCTCTGAAGGGCACAGGTGAATTAGACAACTGTGTGGGCTATGAGCCCCACTGATCCTGTTCCTGATTTTCTCTACAGTCGTGGAGTGGATGCCCACCCAGGGCCGGACCGTGGCGGGGGTCTTGCTGGGGTACTCCTTTACCCTAGGTCAGCTAATCCTGGCCGGAGTGGCATACCTGATCCGCCCCTGGCGGTGGCTGCAGCTTGCCGTCTCCATTCCTTTCCTCATCTTCTTCCTCTATTCTTGGTACGTCCCGGTTAGAGGGGTGAGGGAGGGTGTGCTTGGTGACTGAGCCCCTCCTGTGACAAGTTTGGGCTATGCAGTGACTGGGACCTGCTGGACATGGTGGGGACTGAAAGAGGGTTGATGCTTGTGGGGACCACAGGCTCACAGGGACTGCCCACGACTCTTGGGAAGCTCTGATAAAATCCCTTACATGAGTGTAGGGCTCCAGAACATTCCAGTGGTTTTGCCTCATCAGTTCCTTTGCAATCACAACATGAAGGGAACTGAGGCATGGCCCAAGCAGGGCCCATGACTTATTCAAGCCACACACCAGGTCAGAACCAGATTCAAAAGTGGCTCTGTAAGTTTCTAAGTGCCCTTCAGTGTGTCCTTGTCTGATGTTCTCTGCAAAAGGGATGTCCTCCAGTCTTCGTGACTCTGTGGGCAGCAGGACAGTTTGCTTTTTTCAGGTTCTGAAAGAAGGGGAATGAAGGTGTACTCGGCTTTGGAGAACAGAAGGAGATCTACTCAACATTGCCATGTTTCATCCTTCTTTTGGTCCCAGGTGGCTGCCAGAGTCATCCCGATGGCTCCTGCTTCATGGCAAGTCCCAGCTAGCTGTGGAGAACCTGCGGAAGGTGGCTGTTATGAATGGGAGAGCGGAGGAAGGAGAAAGGCTGACCAAAGAGGTAGGCAGCATGGGTGGAAGAAAGGAGAGAGACTGTTTTGAATCTGGCTGGTGGCCCTGAGATGCACCAGGACTTAGTAGCTTCCCAGGACTCACCCAGTCTCCAGGTGAAGGCGGGGAATAAACAGAGAGGGAAGAGTTCCAGTGAAGCAAAAATGTTCAGCCATTGGGCAGCCCCGGTGGCGCAGTGGTTTAGCGCCGCCTGCAGCCCAGGGTGTGATCCTGGAGACCCTGGATCGAGTCCCACGTCAGGCTCTCTGCATGGAGCCTGCTTCTCCCTCTGCCTGTGTCTCTGCCTCTCATTCTCTCTCTGTGTCTCTATGAATAAATAAAATCTTAAAAAAAAAATGTTTAGCCATTGAATGGCAATGTGATCTGAAGTAAATAACCACTTTGGTTATCAGTCTATCCATCTTTGCAATGGGGAAATAACCCCATTCACATTGACACCTAGCTGAAATTTAAATAAGTAGTAAGATAAAATGAAATGAAAATATTAAAATAGAAGTCATAAAATGAAATGATCAAAGAATCAATAATAAAAGTACCATTTATTATAAATACTGTCTTAAGACAATTACCATTTATAAGATAGTTACCATTTATTATAAAGAGGTATGATTCTCCAGCCCCCTGCTAGGCACTCTGCTGGGGCTTTAGGTACATAATCTGATTTAACTTGTTACTTTTGCGGATGAGGAAACTGAAGTTTGAATGTTTTGGGTCATTTTCCTAAGAACACACAGTGGGAAGTAGCAGAACCAGTCAGAACCCCTGCCCTTAACCACTGCCCAAGCCGATCTCAGAGTCTTGGGACTCACACTGGAACCTCTTCTTCATCCCAAAGCTCTGGAAATGATTTGTTGAGAGCCATCAGTCCCGGGATGGAGAAGAGACTAGAACCAGCTATCTTGCCGGGGACCTCAACCTTGACCTTCCTCTCCACAGACGAAGGGACTCCTGACAGGAAAATAGGGTCCCAGATCCTTCCCATCTGCTGATCAAACTTTCCTTGCCCAGGTGGTGAGTTCCTACATCCAGAGTGAGATTGCAAGTGTCCGCACCTCCAACTCCATCTTGGACCTCTTCCGAACCCCGGCCATCCGAAAGGTCACCTGCTGTCTCATGGTGGTCTGGTAGGTGATGTGCTCAAGCACAAGTCTTTGACCTGAGGCAGAGACTCACTCGCCTTTTATCCCTACTTCCAAACTGTTCTCGAATAGTCTTTTTTTTTTTTTTTCGAATAGTCTTAATGCAATGAGCAGGTGAACCTTGTGAATTCAAACTTGTCCCTACCCTTCTCTAGGGTCCTCTCACCTTCTGCTTGGCACTGAGATGTGGTCATAGATGAAACATCTGTGCTGACCTAGGGACCCTACATCTGGACAGTGGATCTCACCTTGGTGGGGGGTGGGGCACCCATTAGAAATCACCCATGCAGCTTTTCTTTTTTTTTTAAATTTTTTATTTATTATTATTATTTTTTTTATTTATGATAGTCACACACAGAGAGAGAGAGAGAGAGGTAGAGACATAGGCAGAGGGAGAAGCAGGCTCTATGCACCGGGAGCCCGACGTGGGATTCGATCCCGGGTCTCCAGGATCGCGCCCTGGGCCAAAGGCAGGCGCTAAACCGCTGCGCCACCCAGGGATCCCCCCATGCAGCTTTTCCAAAATGCACCTTGTCTCACCCTGAAAGGTCTTGGGGGCTCTCCAAGAGATTCTGGGAAGTGTCCTCCTCTAGAAGAATACTCGTTGGTCCAGGGGGCACACAGGGAAACAATAATGTCTATGAGGTATGACAAGTGTCCTTATAGCAGTTCTCCTGGTTGGGGCTGCTGAGGGCTCCATGCAGAAGATGGCATTTAAGTGGATTTTACAAAAATGGTTGTGGAGTTTGCCAGGTGACCAGGAAGGAAGTCCCAGCAGCTACATCAATACACATGAAGTGTAAAAAGGATAAAACCACAAACACAATCCATTCACGTTAGCACAGACTGGAAGCTGGCAGATCCTAAGATAAGGATCTGATTTTAAAAAGGCTGGGGATCATTTCAATTTCACTTCCCAGGATATGATATCCTGGACATGTAAATAATAAGGGTTGATATTTGTGAAGCAGTGAACACAGGCCATGAATGATCTGTTGTCTGGAGGAGATCCAGCACTCTTGATTAGTGGTTACTAGCTAGGCTGTGGTAAACCAGACTACCTAAGTGACCTTGAGCAAGTCAGTCAGCCTCCTGGTGCCCCAATTTCCTGCTTATATACCTACCCCGAAGGTCTTTTTGAGGGCTAAACATTTAGACATGTAACCCCCTGACATGGCCAGGGTAAGTGCTTGGGTAGAGTCTAAGCTATGATTTAGGTTGGGGCTGTGTCCCCTAGACACTAGAAATGTAGGATTGTCCACCACTCTGGACCTTTAGAGGGCTTCTGCCCTGACACTGTTGCCCATGGGGCAATTCTGGCCCTCGGCACCCAGTGAGCTCCTCAGAATCCAAGTCAGGGAAGTGATACTCTACTGCCAGCACTCTGCGGGCCCACAAGACCCTCTCTTCACTGTCCTCTTCCCACTGGGAAGAAATATCATGAATTAAAAATTCCAGTGTTGAAAGTCCCCTCTTGGATCCTTCTGGAAAGAATAAGCTAAGGCCCATTTCTGTTAAAAGAAAGTAATTTGGGCAGCTAGTGACTGGGTCACCCAGATGGGGTTTCTGCTGGCAGGTGGGGACCTTTGAAAGGAAGAGGAAGTGTGAGGAACTGGTTGACTTTCACAAACTTCTGTTGTAAATGCCTTCCATTAACTTGGATTTCTTTTTCTCCTCTGGCTTTTTTCCTAAACTACAAAAGCACTGCATACTCATTGAAAAAAAAAATTTTTTTTTCAAACAATCCAGAAACATAAAGTCAGTATAGTGTATTGATTATGAGGCAGGACTCAACTGTATTTCAATTTAAAAAACAAGACAAGGTTAAGCGTCTGCCATCAGCTCAGGTCATGATCTGAGAGTCCTGGGATCGAGTCCTGAGTTGAGCTCCCTACTCTATGGGACTCTGCTTCTCCCTTTCCCTCTGCCTGCCACTCCCCCTGCTTGTGTTCTCTTTCTCTCTCTCTCTCTGTCAAATAAATAAATAAAAATATTTAAAAATAAATTAAGGCAGGACTCTGGAACCTGACTGCTTGGATTAGAATCTCAGCTCTGCCACAACTCTGTGTGATCTTAGGCAAGTTCCTTAAATCTCTCTGTATCTCAGTTTCCCCATCTGTACCATTGATATTATAATAGTGCCTACCACAAAAGGTGGTTGTGAAGATTAGAAGCAATAATGTATGTGAAGCCAACACTTAGTAAACTCAGTACTGACATTTGATAAACAGATGTGCACCTGTTATCACTGTATGAGAGGAATGTGATGCTTCTCCTCCCTCTCTGCTCCCACCCCATCCACAGCAGCAAGCTCCACCACACACATCTGTATCCTTCTAGACCTTTGCACACACAAGACATGCACATATATTATAAAAATGGGCTAATACCATACATACATATCTGCTACTTGCTTCTGATAACTTAATCATATCTGTAAATATCTTTACAGTGCTACATGAATCCAGCTCATGAAGTAGGTCAGAATTCTAGGCATAATATGGTTGAGTTCTCAGCTCAGGGGTTCTTACAATCCTTATTCTTTTTTTTTTTTACTTTAAGATTTTATTTTTACTTATTTATTTAAGAGAGAGAGAGAGAGAGCATGAGTGGGGCAGGGGGAAGGGCAGAGGGAGAGAGAGAAGCCGTATTCAGCAAGGAGCCCGACACGGGGCTCAGTCCCAGGAACCTGAGATCATGACTTAAGTGGAAGGCAGACACTTAACCTACTGAGCCACCAGCCACCCCACAGTGTTTTTCTAATGCCACAGATTATTTTAACCTATTTTTGAACTTTCACTTGTCCAATATCATGTTTGTGAGGTGTATCCAGGTTGCAGCATATAATTTAGTTCTTCTTATTGTGTTGCCTTCCATTGTATGAATACACTCCTTGTGGAAGGCAGAATAAGACCTCCCTCCAAGATGTCTAATCTAATTTATCTTTTTCTTTTTTTAAGGATTTTATTTATTTATTTATTTGACAGAGAGAGAGAGAGAAAGCAAGCACAAGCACGGGGGAGGAGGGGAGGTGGAGAGAAGGAGAAGAAGCAGACTTCCCATTGAACAGGGAGCCTGATACAGAACTTGATCCCAGGACCCTGAGATCATGACCTGAGCCAAAGGCAGGCACTTAACCAACTGAGCTACCCAGGAGCCCCTAATCTAATATTTCAAACTTTCTGTGAATATAAATTTATTCCAAATGTAAAAAAAAAAATATCCAACCAAAATTATACCCAGAATAAATAAATATGTGTGTGTGTGTGTGTGTATACACACACTATCAATGAATACTATTGATCCCTGTCCTAATCCCAGGAGCCTGAGGATGTTCCCTTACGTGATATGAGATAATAGAATGTATGTATATATATATATATGGCTTTCTGCCCCCAGTTTCTGACACAGAACTCCTAAAACCCTCACAATTTCCTAAATGATAAAATCACTAGGAGGCAAGTAAGAATTTTGTCTTTGTCCTGGGAGCCTCGTCTTCCTGTTCATGTCACAGCCCCATGTGACCCAGTCAGGATCTTTCTAGAGTCATCATCTTTGATGGTGCAGGATGTGGTGGTTGCGTGAGCCACGAGGAGAAAAATATCATTTTGGGTTATTGGAGACTATATTGGTTTCACATAACAGAGCAGGGACCTGATCCTTGGAAAGTCATTCTCACCTCTAGATGAAAATAGGGCACATGGTAAAAAGCAAGCTTTTTTGGTTTGAGGTAGAGAGAAATAATAAGCTGCTAGACAGGCTCAGACCAGGACCCCTCCATGAAATGCCAGAAGTCTTTCTGAAGTGCTGAGGGGCAGTGGGGTGGCTTTGCAGTGGACCTCTGGGCAGGGGTTGGGGAGGAGGGGGATAGAGATTGAAAGTCCAGGGCTTTTCTGTGGGAGTCTCTGTCCTCATCTGAGCCCTGCCTCACTGCCTTGGGGTTCGGGTTCCTCCACCTCTTGCCAAAACTGCACCAGAAAGAAGGCTGGAGGTTCTTGTAGAATTTAGTAGGCAGGGAGTCCCACTGTTCATTCAAGAGACATCAGGGCAGGGAAACATGAAAGATGGTTTTGTTGTGTTTCAAGGACACAACAAAGTCTTTTCCATGAGGGGGAGGGGAATAGCGTTTCCTTCCTCGAATGCTTGTCTCCACACCAGACTGGAAGCCCAGAGAAGGCAGGACTTTGGCCATCTCATTCCTGGCCTTATGCCTGGACACAACACAATATTTCCATGCTTTGAAGGAAGAAAGGCAAGAGCATCTACAGTGGGGAGAAGGCAGAAGGGGGAAGAACACAGAGAAATACCAGATAGAGGGGGAAAGAGAGAAAGCATGAGGCGCAGGTCAGGGAAGCTGAGCCAAGACGAAGCTTCGAGAAGGGAATGGTCAGTGGAGAACATGGAGAGGCAGTCCACGCAATGACTGTGATGTCCAGGCAGGATATGGAGACTGAGGAAGCAGGACTGTCTTTCCAAGGTCAGATTATCTACTCTAAATAAGTCCCAACCAAATAAAGCTGATGTCACACTGCCTTCCCTGCAGTGTGAAGGGCTACAGGATGTTTTGTCTGGGTGACTTTGTCTTCCAGGGGGTTCAAAATACTATGTGGGGGGCCTTGCCTCTCCTCTCCACCTTGGAGGAGCCAAAATCAGACCTGAATTTCCCCTGGGCCCCCTCAGATCTGCCTAGGGCCAACAAGAATGATGATGCATCTTTTCTTTCTCTCCATCTCCCTTGACTCACAAAGCTGGGGGTAGGTGGGAGGGATGGTAGGCGTTTCTCAGTAGGTGCTAAGGGGGCAGATGCTTGGAGAAAGCCCACTGCCAAATTCTGTTTTTCCACACACACACCCCCAATATACTTTCAGGGAAACAGAACCAGGTCGACCCACCTGGACTCATGGGGGCCAATCCCATTCTTTTATTATTAAGTGGGGTAAAATACACATAGCATAAAGTTTTGCCGTGCTAAGTGTTTTCATTCCATTGCTGTGCAAACCATCCTCCAGGACTCTTTTTTACTTTGCAAAACTGGAACTCTGTTTTTTTTTTTTTAAGATTTATTTATTTATTTATGATAGACGTAGAGAGAGAGAGAGAGAGAGAGGCAGAGACACAGGAGGAGGGAGAAGCAGGCTCCATGCCGGGAGCCCGATGCGGGACTCGATCCCAGGACTGCAGGACTGCGCCCTGGGCCAAAGGCAGGCGCCAAACCGCTGAGCCACCCAGGGATCCCCTGGAACTCTGTTTTGTTTTGTTTTGTTTTTTTAATTTTTATTTATTTATGATAGTCACAGAGAGAGAGAGAGAGGCAGAGACACAGGCAGAGGGAGAAGCAGGCTCCATGCACCGGGAGCCCGACGTGGGATTCAATCCCGGGTCTCCAGGATCGCGCCCTGGGCCAAAGGCAGGCGCCAAACTGCTGCGCCACCCAGGGATCCCCTGGAACTCTGTTTTTAACCCACTAAACCACAACTCATTCTCCCTCCACCCAGCCCTTGTGGCAACTACTGTTCTCCTTTCTGTCACTATAATTCTAACTACTTTAGGGACCTTGTATAAGTAGCATCATGCAGTATTTTTCTCTTTGTGACTGGCTTATTTCTTTTTTTTTTAATATTTATTTATTTGATAGAGAGAGTGCACAAGCAGGGAGAGTGGCAGAGGGAAAGGGAGAAGAAGGGTCTCCGCTAAGCAAGGAGCCCGATGCGGGGCTCAATCCCAGGACTCTGAGATTATGACCTAAGCTGAAGGCAGATGCCCAACTCACTGAGCTACCCAGGCACCCCGTGACTGGCTTATTTCAGCTAGTGTACTGTGCTCAGGGTTCTGCACCATGGGAGCACTGTCAGTATTTCTTCCTTTTGAAGGCTGAGTAATTACCCACCTACACCACTTATTGTTCATCCATTCAGGAGTCGGTGGACACTTGGAGTCCTTTCCGCTATTGTGAACGATGGAGCTATGAATATGGATATTCAAACATCTCTTTGAGACATTGCCTTAGGGACATTTTAAATTTCTCAGGGGGGATCCCTAGGTGGCTCAGCGGTTTCACGCCTGCCTTCGGCCCAGGGCATGATCTTGGAGTCCCAGGATCGAGTCCCGCGTCAGGCTCCCGGCATGGAGCCTGTTTCTCCCTCTGCCTGTGTCTCTGCCTCTCTCTCTCTATGTCTATCATAAATAAATAAATAAAAATAAATCTTTAAAAATAAAATAAAATAAATAAATTTCTCAGGGGATGTCTGGGTGGCTTAGTGGTTTAGCGCCTGCCTTTGGCCCAGGGCATGATCCTGGAGTCCCAGGATCGAGTCCTGCATCGGGCTTCCTGCATAGAGCCTGCTTCTCCCTCTGCCTGTGTCTCTGCCCCCCCCCCGCCTCTCTGTCTATTATGAATAAATAAAATCTTTTTAAAAATAATAAATAAATAAATAAATAAATAAATAAATAAATAAATAAATATCTCTGGAGACCGCCCTCCCACCCCCCCACCCCTACTCCTGCTGTGGGAACTCCAGGTCTTTGTAGCCAGATTGACTGTAAACCTCCCTTAGCAGAAGCAGCCACCTTCAGGGGCCGATTTCTCAGTAAACACTGGGAGACGCATGAGGGTCCTAAGGAGTCTTCTTCACCTTGTTGGAAGGCTCTCGTTTTCTCCTTCCAGCTCTTAGATGTGATGCTCAGCTCAGCCACTGAAGGCTGGGGATGGAGGCTGGAGCAGTGCAGACAGGGAAAAACACTCACATTCTGGAACCCACAGACTCGGACTCCAGGGAGCAGGTGGTTAAGCTGGAACATGGAGGGAGGAGCCTGGGCTCTAAGACCCAAGTCATAGACTTGGATTTGGTGGGGAGAAAAGGGAACAGGTTAAATTCAGGGGATTTTAACTCCCCGAAATTGGAGTCCTGTGTCATTCACCCTGTGCCATCCCCTGGGTGCAGGACGGTGAACCATGGGCTAGAGCAGGACCATTCTGCTCCCTCTTCCAGGTTCTCCAACTCCATGGCTTACTATGGGCTGGCCATGGACCTGCAGAAGTTTGGACTCAGCGTATACCTGGTGCAGGTCCTGTTTGGGGTCATAGACATCCCGGCCATGCTGGTGGCCACCACCACCATGATTTACGTGGGCCGCCGGGCCACTGTGGCCTCCTTCCTCATCCTGGCCGGGCTCATGGTGATCGTGAACATGTTTGTGCCAGAAGGTGAGCCATCTACTTCTGCCATGACCACCTGGGAGTCTCTGGGGTTTGGGGTCTGGTGGGCAATGAATACAGCAAGGGAACAAGGCTGAGGGATGTTCTTCTGGATCTGAAAAGGAAGTGAGTGTCAATTAGCAGGGTTTTTAATGAGCATTCAGGGCCATGGTGGAGAATCGGCAAAGACGAGAGTCTTTGCCCTTAAAGCATTTACCTCTTGTCAGATTGATGACCTTTGAAAACCCAAAGGCTCAAGGCCAATGCCACCAGTGTCAGGGAATGGGACCAAACCCTAAGTAGCTAAAGAACAGTCCAGTGATTCCAGCAAGAAGCCAGAGCTGAGTATCGGAGTCCTAGAGCTTGTGTGAAGCCAAGGCCCATGGCCTTAGGCAACTTGTCTGATTTCTTGGTGCTTCATTGCTTTCTTATAGAGTGGATGGATTATTACTATTAGTACTTTGACATATTTTCTTCCAATCTTTTTTCCTTCTTGCAGATTTTGTATTTGATATATTATATATATATATGATTATGTGTATATCTTATTTATGTATGTATAATGTATCCCTATTTCACTATATTATAACATAAGTACGTTTCCTCATGTTATTTATTTATCTATCATTATTATTATTTTTTAAGATTTTATTCATTCACTTGAGAGAGAGAGAGTATGAGTGCACAAGTGGGTGGAGGGGCAGAAGGAAAGGGAGAAAGACTCCTCACTGAGTGGGAAGCCAGACTTAGGGCTCAACCCCAGGATTCTGAGATCATGACCTGAGCTGAAGTCAGATGCTTAACCAACTGAGCCACCCAGGCACACTTATTTATTATTATTTTTAAAGTAGGCTCCATGCCCAGCATGGAGTCTAACATGGGACTTGAACTCATGACCCTGAGATCAAGACCTGAGCTGAGACCAAGAGTTGGATGCTTAACCAACTGTGCCACCCAGGCACCCCAATATACTTTTCCATGTTAATATCAACATTTTATGACCTTAGCTTTGTATCAGTATATAATAATTCATCTAGATTGGTGTTTTACAACTCTCGCTGCACATTGGAATCTCCTAGTGATCTTTCAAGAAATACTCAAACTTGAGCCTACGGCTCAGAGACTTTAATAGAGAGGGGGTAGGGCCCAAGTGTGGATGTTTTATAAATCTCCCCTCCTGGTTCCAGTGTGCAGCCAGGGAATGTACGATAATTTCCTTGACCATTGCTTCAATGTTGGGCATGTGCATTGGGGTTTTACTGTTTATAACCACTAGCAGGACAAGGTAATGATAGTAACAGCAAATATTTAATGAGCACTGAGCCCTTTGCACTCATGACATCACAGCAATCTTATGACAACCCTGTAAAGCAGGTGCTGGTATTTCCCTCATTTTACAGTTGAGGACAGGGAAGGAGGCTCAGGGAGGTCAAGTGACAGTAACCGAGGTCACCCAGCTGAGTCAGAGCTGGAATTTGAACCCAGGCCTGACTCCAAAGTTTGTCCTGCCTTGGGAGGGGGTAAAAGAAGGCATAAATGAGATTAGGGCAGTGCGGGGCACTCTGCGGCCTAGGTGGGAAAGTGAGGTAGTGGAAATCCCAACCCCCTCCTCCCATTGCTGTGTTTCCCTCCTCCTTTTTTGGGCTCCAAACCTCAGCCTCTGCCTCGACCCCATACCCCACCACTCCTGAGCAGCCTCTGCCTCCACCCCATACCCACCACTACCCCTCTGCCTCCCTGATCCCCTTTGGGGCTCTGAGCACTCCCTAACCCTGGCTCTGCCTACCCCTCTGCAGATATGCAGACCCTGCGCACAGCCCAGGCTGCACTAGGCAAAGGCTGCCTGGCCAGCTCCTTCATCTGTGTGTACCTGTTCACTGGAGAGCTATACCCCACAGAGATCAGGTGGGTGCACCTGCCCCAACCTGGGAGGCCCTGAAGCTCCGGGTTGACACCTGCTGGGTTTGCTGAAGCTAGATGTCCTCTCCTTTCTGTCTACCCCCCGACACCCAAGGCCTGGCACTCCCAGCCCTCTAGGCAGTCTGGGCCACAGCCACTGACCAGTTCATACTTTTTAGGCAGATGGGGATGGGCTTTGCCTCAGTCAACGCCCGCTTTGGGGGTCTGGTTGCACCCCTGGTCACCACGCTCGGGGAGTTCAGCACCATCCTGCCACCCATCGGCTTCGGGGCTACTTCAATCTTGGCCGGACTGGCCGTCTGCTTCCTGGCCGAGACTCGCAATGCACCTCTGGTGGAGACCATTGAGGCCATGGAGAGGAGGTGAGGAACCTCTGGGCATGGTGGGGTAAGGATGGCCAAACAGGCTGCAGGTTCCCATGAAATAACTTGGGGCCATGAGGGTCCTCTGACTGCTGTTATGATGTCACGGGTGGTGAGCGGGAGCCATGCGGGGAAGACCAGCCTCCCCTGCCCACCTTTGTCTAAGAGGCTTCACTTTCAACAGACAGATCCAACAAGGATAGTGAAATAGAACAAAGAATAAACTGTAGACCAGGCACAATGGGAACATGAGTTGAAGTAAAGCCTGGCAGAGAAGTGGGGATGACGGTTTGTGGTGACGAGAGGTACCATATTCCAAAGCAAAGACTGGCCGGTGGGGCTGCCATGGTGACCTTCAAATCTGGCTCAGAGCTTCCTGGCAACAGAAAGGGAGACCCTGTTAATGACTTTTGTCGTCTTATGAGAGAGGTAAAGGGATGATAGTTCTCTGGGGAAAGTGAAGCTTTTCTCAGCAATTAGCATTAAAAGAAATTTCTCTCGTGGATCCCCTTAGGGAGGTCACTGAGTAAGCTGACATCCTTGATGAGGTTTCTAAAAGTATCAGGGCAGACGTACTGCATTTCTCTGCAACAATGGGGTTGGTGAAGGCCCTTGGTTTTGAAGAATGGGGCCTGGGAAGGGAACGGAGCCCAAGTTTATAGCTTTCTCTGTCTAGCTTGATCCCACAGCTGGAGCCATCTGTGCCCAGAGACCTGTGTTTGAAATCCTTAAAATAATCCCCCATAAACATCCTACATCTAATCTGAGCCATGGACGAAGGCTGGACTCACATAGATCAAGGACACATTCTTTGGCGAGTCCTGTCAATTTTGCCTTCAAGATATATTAAGAATCTGTCCATCTCCCTCACCCCTGTGACCATCCGCCTTCTGGTCTGGACAGCTGTAAAAGCCTCAGATGTTCCCCTGTTCCTTCCACTTTATTTTTTATATAGCGACTAGTATGAAAGGCTTGCCATGTAAAGAATTACATCGCTTCTCCTTGCAACCCTTCCCTGGCACCTTTTTACAAAGTTGAAGATAAAATCTGAAATCTTACAAGGCTCCCAGGATCTGACCCCTGCCACCACCAAGGTACTCTGTCTGGAACGTTCCTCCCTTTGCTCTCTGCCTTTTTAATTCCCACTCATGCCAGAGGTGTAGGTCTAAACATCCCAGATATTGGGTAAGCATTTGTCAATAACCCAATCCAGAGCCTGTTTGCAGGTGCTCTGAGATGTTGCCTGAGGGACCCAAATACATAAGAAAACAACTGGAGGTGTGGCTTCCCCTGACATTACTGTAATGGTTTTGGCCTGGGCATTTTTAAAGTCACATTTTGCTTACCCTGGCTATAGAAAAAATCCCAGTATACTACTATATGTTGTTACAGATGTGAAACAATTACATAATGGAGACCATTTACTAAAAATAATTTTATTATATTTTATTTATTTATTGAGACAGAAATAGAGAGAGATCAGGGGGAGGGGCAGAGAGAGAGAGAGAGAGAGAATCTCAAGCAGACTCCATGGCAAGCGGGGAGCCAGACATGGGGCTTGATCCGACAACGCTGAGATCACAACCTGAGGTGAAATCGAGTCAGACATTTAACCAACTGAGCCACCCAGATGCCCCTAAAAATAATTTTATTTTTAAAAATAGTTGAGGACAACCCGTTATTTCTCACAACAATTTGCCTATTGGGTCTGACCTAGCTGGTCCCGACAGAAGTCCATTCGTCCCAGAGTCTGTGGAGGAGCTTGTACACATTGGAAAACTAACTGATATCTAAAATGCGGGAAGCTCTCTGAAGCTTCACAAATGTTGTAGAGTAGTCCCAGATCTCATATTGTTTTTATCATTTATTTTTTATTTTTTTAAAAAGATTTTATTGGGATCCCTGGGTGGCACAGCGGTTTGGCGCCTGCCTTTGGCCCAGGGCGCGATCCTGAAGATCTGGGATCAAATCCCACATCAGGCTCCCGGTGAATGGAGCCTGCTTCTCCCTCTGCCTGTGTCTCTGCCTCTCTCTCTCTCTCTCTCTCTCTCTCTGACTATCATAAAAAATAAAAAATAAAAAAATAAAATAAAATAAAAAGATTTTATTTATTTATTCACGAGAGATACACAGAGAGAGGCAGAGACATAAGCAGAGGGAGAAGCAGGCTCCCGCGGGGAGCCCGATGTGGGACTCAATCCCAGGACCCCAGGATCATGACCTGAGCCAAAGGCAGATGCTCAACCACTTAGCCACCCCGGTGCCCCTATCGTTTATTTTTTAAATTATATATGTGTGTGTGTTGAGTATGATCTGGAACACTCTCAAGCTTACACTTTTTGTCTGAACTCTGGGAGAGAGAGTTGTTGAGAGATCTTTTCCAAATACTGCGCTGCGTAGTTCTTTCAAACAAAGATGTTCTCCTACATAACCCCAATAGAACCATCACAGTTAGAAAGCTAATATTGGTATATGATTTTTATTTAATTCTCAGGGCTCATTCAAGTTCTGCCAGTCTTCCCTATCCCAGCCCCCTTGCCCCACCACCAACGTTCTATAAAGCAAGAGGATCTGGTTCAGAATCACAAGTGGCATTTGGTTGTTGCATTTCTCTCAGGCTGAACTAGGTCCTCGGGTGTTCTCTGGCTCTCTCGACTCCAACACTTATACAGGGTTTTATAATAGGAAGGACAAGCAGGACTCCACGAAGCTCACAAGGCTTTCAGGAGCTGAAGTATACAATACAGTAGGAGGAAGAAAAGGCAGGCAAACAGGTGCACCGCCCAGGGTCCTCTCTGCCCTCGGTTTTGTCTCTCTCACAGGCTGTGGGCATGAAAGTGAGTTATCTCAAGCTCAGGGAAGCCAAGGCACGAGTCTGATGAGGGGTTTTTGGTATCCCGTTGGTCACAGCTAATATCAGGTTGTATAACCAGGTAAACCAATTGCAGACCATAAACCCATGATTTTCAATAAACAATGTTAGATAAGCTGGGACAGGTTGGCTCCAGGGGGAGCGTCCCCTTTAACAGCACCTTATAAATTACTGGCTAGTACATTTCATCCTTGCTGTGTGTGGTTAATGGTCAGTGTCTTGGTTCCAGGTGTCTTTGAAGATGAACACAGAGCTGGCACAGAGTAGCTGTGAGTTAACAATGACCTTGACTGTTTTGAAGATTACAGACCAGTTAATTCTGTAGATTTTCCCTTGCTTTGGGTTTTGCCAATGTTATAGGTTGTAGCTTCTGCATCTCTGGCAGTGCTGTCACAGAAGTGATGCTGAGTCATGCTCATTATATCCCATCAGGTGGCACATGATTTTGATCTGTCCTCTGATTGGTGATGTTCCTCTTGATCCCTTCTTTTTTTTTTTTAAGATTTTATTTATTCATTCATAAGAGACAGAGAGGAGAGGCAGAGAGACACAGGCAGAGGGAGAAGCAGGCTCCCTGCAAGGAACCCAATGTGGGACTTGATCCTGGACCCAGGGATCACACCCTGAGCCAAAGGCAGATGCTCAACTGCTGAGCCACCCAGGCGTCCCCCTCTTGATCTCTTAATTAAGGAGGTACCTGCCAGGCTTTTGCACTGTAAAGTTACTCTTTTCCCCTCTGTAATTAACAAGCATTTTGTGCTGAAGTACTTTGAAACTATGTAAACATTCTATTCCTTATCAAACGTTCAATTTATTATGTACATATTTGTATCATTATGGATTTGTAAATCCTTATTCTTTAATATATTATACCCTATTTTGATGCTCAGTTTTCCTAAATTTGGCCAGCATGAACCTTTTGACTTCTGTGTTCTTTTCAAATTCTTTAAGCATGTCCTTGTTTTCTGGCACAACCAGATATTCTAAGCTCATTTCCCCATAGTTGTCTTGGCAACCATTTCTCTGAGCATCCTGGTTCATTTTAGTATAGAATGGTATTTATAAGCCAAGATCCGTGGGGGGCCTGAGGGGCTCAGTTGGTTGGGTCTGCCTCTTGATTTCGGCTCAGGTCATGATCTCAGGGTGGTAAGATTGGTGCCCTGCCTGGGCTTGTGGAGGCTCTGCTTGAGATTCTCTGTCCCTCTGCCACTCCCCCTCCTTCTCTCTCTCTCTCTCTCTCTCTCTCTCAAATAAATGAATCTTTAAAAAGCCAAGATCCAGATGTGAGGGGCTCATTATTATGGGGTTTTTCTGCTCTCAAGCCCTCTCAGTGGATAGAAGCAGAGAATATATGAATATACATATAGACACATGGACCCATACATCTTTTTTTTCTATATCTGTAAATCATACTGAAAACCATGAGTCATACCATTACTTCCAACTTTAATCCAACACCACTTACCACCAGGTTTATCTCAGTTTTCTCCCTTTACATATTTAACTCCCTTCTCTGACAATGAGAAATCTGCCTTCCCTTAACCTTAACATATTTGCTTATTTGATCAGTCCCCCAGCATATAACCCTTCCCTCTCCTTCATGGACCCCTCCATACCCTACCTGGGCTCCAAAACCCCACACTGGGTCAACCCTCCATGTGGACACTTACCTTGCTCTGTGCCACATAATGGCTTTAAGATCAAATTGTTCAAGAAGAGAAGGGAAGAAAAGTCTTCCATATATTTTTGATGACACAAGTTGTCTCATAAACAGATAAGACCTTGACCTCCTCACTCCTCTAACCTCACACCCCTCTAGATTCATCCTTGAGATCGTAGCAAGTGTAATGATGCCAAGAGGTGGACTAGCCATACTCAAAGCCTATTTCCATCTCATATAAACTTTTGCATAAGAAATTTAAACCTGTGACTTATCTTTTTAAAGATTTTATTTGTTTATTTGAGAGAGAGAGAGAGAGCATGCATGACAGGAGGCAGAGAGAGAGGCCCAGTTGGGATGGGTGGGGGGCTTTACCAGGCTTGATCCCAGGACTCTGAGATCATGACCTGAGCTGAACTCAGATGCTTAACCAAATGAGCCACCCAGGCACTCCTAAATGTGACAAGGAGGACACAGACATGATGCTTTTTTAGTAAACATCTTAGGCAACAAAATCTGCTCTTGGGTAGGCACCAGTAGGAGCAAGTCCAGATGCAGCCCTGCCATGAGTGAGTTGATAAAAATAGTGGACACTGATCAGGGAGTTTTTCCCAGAGTTCTGGAGGCCAAGGATTTTACCTGGTGTTTAATTTAGCCTTTTTGAAATCTTTTTTTTTAAATAACATTTTATTTTTTTTAAGATTTATTTATTCATTAGAGAGAGAGAGAGAGAGAGAGAGAGAGAGAGAGAGAGGCAGAAACACAGGCAGAGGGAGAAGTAGGCTCCATGCCAGGAGCCCGATGCGGGACTCGATCCCGGGACTCCAGGATCACGCCCTGGGCCAAAGGCAGGTGCTAAACCGCTGAGCCACCCAGGGATCCCCGCCTTTTTGAAATCTAATCTACATATTAAATTATTATTCAATCAATTCCTCCTATAGGTCAGACACAGTGCTAAGGGTGGTATGTAGAGTGAATAAGACAGATGTGACCTTTGCCCTCTTGGAGGTTATAGAGTAAGGTGCATCGAGAACAAATACACAAAAATAAATATGTAATTAAGAGAGAATAATTGAGGGATGCCTGGGTGGCTCAGTGGTTGAGTGTCTGCCTTTGGCTCAGGGTGTGATCCCGGGGTCCTAGGATGGAGTTCCGCACTGGACTCCTTGCGGGAAGCCTGCTTCTCCCTCTGCCTATGTCTCTGCCTCTCTCTGTATGTCTCTCATGAGTAAATAGAATCTTTAAAAAGAGAGAGAGCAAGAATAATTGAGTGATTGTGGATGCTTCTAGACTTGAAGAGGAGAAGAAATTAGCCTGGCTGAGAAGGGGACAAGTGTGTCCCTGGGAAAGGGAAGAGCTTATGCAAGCCCCGTGAAGTCCCAATAAGTTGGGAGGAGCTGAGTGATGGCCAGATATGAACTTTAAAGATGAGCCTGGGGAGGGGCGGGGGCAGCCCTAGAGACCACTCTGAGAATTTAGGCTCTTAACTCAATAGAGAAACCACTGCAGGACTTGGAGGAAGGATCGATGTGGTCTGATTTTTAAAAATCCCTTTCCGTTTCCTTTGCATTAGTAAATCTCAGCCTAAAAGGGGCCTTGGGTCTAGGAATTTAGAGAAGTTGCTCTGGAACAGTTTTTCAACCATTTTACATTATCACCCTCCCCCTAACCATACCCCACCCTCCCCAAAACAATTTAATACCACAGATATACTATCTGTTCATATACCATAGCCCTTTGAAAGCCACAAACCATTGTAATATCTCAGATTTTTTTGTCCCCCCTCCCTCAAGAACTAGTTTTTACCCCCTGGAGGCAATATCACCCCGATGGAAAATAAGTACTCTTCCACAATGCTTACCTGTTCCAATAGCCATAGAACCTCTTGAGTTAAGATTTTTAGAACCCCTGAGGGGCTTATAATCAGATACCTTTAATATGCTCCTGCATGATTCCCAGGCGTTCTGGTCCGTGGGCTTCTTCAGTAACTTGTCTGAGGTTCTTCTTGACAATTCCCTTCTAACCAAATAGGAGTCAGAAAAAACTCAACTTATTCTGGTTTGGTAGGAAACAGTGATGTTGGGGAACGAGAGGCAAGAAATGGCCTCTCTCATGAGTCAGTCAAGTAGTTTTCAATATCTGGACAATAAGAATTCAAGAACTCGGGATGCCTGGGTGGCTCAGTGGTTGAGCGTCTGCCTTCAGCTCAGGGCGTGATCCTGGAGTCCCAGGTTTGAATCCCACATCAGGCTCCTTGCATGGAGCCTGCTTCTCACTCTACCTGTGTCTCTGCCTCTCTCTGTGTGTGTCTCTCATGAATAAATAAATAAAATCTTAAAAAAAAAAAAAAACTGAAGAACTCCTCACCCATTTCATGTTTCTCCATTTCTACTCTCCACAAATAATTATGAGTGCTGGTCCCAGGTCTTGGGTGTCAAGGATTAAGATGAGAAGAAAATGGCTCTTTCCAAGGTTCATATCACCCATCTCCAAGATGGCTGCAAGCCAAGAGGGATTAGCTGTAATGTACCTTTTACCTCTGGTTCCTGGGTTATGTAAAGATATAAGGGAACTTCCTCCATACTTACTTCACAGACTGACAAAAATCCATTTGTTTATCAATTATTTCATTGTAAATTACTCCCATCCTTCATTAATCACAAAACCAAATACTGTATCTCCGGGATGGTCTGTGTGCCTGGTCTGGGGCCAGGTCAGCCTCCATGACCAAGTTGAGCTTATGCCCCAGTTTGTTGAAGTAACATAGCAAAGGAATCTCTTTTCCGTAAGAATAGAACATACACAAAGGAGGAAGTGCTGATAGAAAATAAACAGGGGAAAGGTACTCATATCATAATGAAAGAAATGCAAATTAAAACAGGGAAGAGGTAATTTTTAAATATCCAATAAGGAAAACATTTAAAACACAGTAGTAGTCAATGACAACAGGAAGAAGGAAACTCCTGCAACATTTCTTGAAGTTTCTCTCACGGAGCATGAGATGGAAAAATTTTCATATTCTTCTAAGTAGCAATGACATTGCCAGGGCTCTGCCCTAAGGAAATAAGCTGAAATGTGGACAAAGTTTATTTATAAGGATATTCATCACCATGTTTAATATGCCAGGAAAAAATTGTAAACTCTCCAGATCTCCAACAATTTGAACAAAATATGATATGCCGTGCAATTGTAGGAAGTTACATTGACGAAGACTTTCTTTTTTTAAATATTTTATTTATTTATTTGAGAGGGAAAGAGAGAGAGCATGCAAGCATGAGTGGCAGGGAGGGGCAGAAGAAAGAGAAACAGGGCAGCCCAGGTGGCTCAGCAGTTTAGTGCTGGCTTCAGCCCAGGGTGTGATCCTAGAGACCAGGGATCGAGTCCCATATCGGGCTTCCTGCATGGAGCCTGCTTCTCCCTCTGCCTGTGTCTCTGCCTCTCTCTCTCTGTGTCTCTCATGAATAAATAAAATCTTTAAAAAAAGAGAGAGGGAGAAACAGACCCCCTGCTGAGCAGGGAGCACAATTCAGGACTCCATCCCAGGACCCCTGAGCTGAAGGCAGACATGTAACAGACTGAGCCACCCAGGAGCACTTGATGAAGACTTTTTAAGGGCATGGGGAATGTTTACAATATAATGTTAAATAGTATATTGAAATTAATTATGATATTTTCCTAATTATGTGAAGAAACATTGATTAAGGGACACTTGCCTGGCTCAGTCAGTGGAGCATGCAACTCTTGATCTTGAGGCCATGAGTTCAAGCCCCATGCTGGGTGTGGAGATTACATAAATAAATAAATAAATAAATAAATACATACATACATACATACATACATACTTAAAAAAAAAGAAATAGAGACTCCAAAGAGAGAAAGAAATATATTAAAATGGTGACAGTGGTTGCCTCAAAGTATGAGTGACATTTAATTTTTTCCTGGCTACTTTACATTTTAAAAATTATCTCTGGGGGTGCCTGGCTGGCCCAGTTAGAAGAACATGCAACTCGATCTCAGGGTCCTGAGTTCAAGCTCCACATTAGGTAGGGATTATTTAAATAAATTAAACTTAAAAAGTTTTTTTAATTAAAAAGAAAAATAAATAAATAAAACTTAAAAAAATTTAAACATAAAAATTATCTCCAAATTGTCTATATTGAACAGGCTTTCTTTGGTAACCAAGGGAGAGAAGCACACAAGGAAAGCAATTATAAGAATCCAATTAGATTGTTTCCCAGACACAGGGCAGCTCCTCTGGAGGCCTAGAAGCTAGGGAAGGGTCTGGGAAGATGGTAATGATTCTTAGAGCCTGCCAAGATGATGGAAAGACCCAGACGAGAGGCAGCAGGGCCTAGACAAAGTTGCAAGGCTCCAATCAATGGCCTTCCATGGAGTTCTCCCACTGGTAGTAGGGACTTAGAGAGGTGAGGGCTGGGGGATGGATTTTCAGCCTTTCAGCAGGAGAGCTGGCACTCCACCAAGGCCAAAGCCCAGGCCATCGGTCAGCTGGGACCTCCTGCCACCCTCTCACTCACAGGGAGCACCAGCTGCATGGCTGAACCCAGCATGTTTTTAGTGCTTATTGTATTATATTTCAGACATTAAAAAAAGGAGACCATGGATTTCAGTTCACACAACAGGCCACCTCTGGTCTGGTCATCTTTGCTCATACAAAAAATTTATTTATTTATTTATTTATTTATTTATTTATTTATTTAATTTATTTATTTATAAGACTTTATTTATTTATTTGAGAGGGTGAGAGAGAGAGCACAAGCAGAGGGAACAGCAGAGGGAGAGGGAGAAGCAGGCCCCTCACTGAGCAGGGAGCCCAAGGAGGGGCTCGATCCCAGGACCCGCAGGATCCTGACCTGAGCTGAAGGCACACACTTAACCCGCCAAGCCACTCAGGTGCCCCCATGTGATGAATTTTTAAAATAGTATTGAGCAAGCCTAACCATTGCAGCAGTTGAATCTGGAGAATGTCTGCCTCTGGGTTTTTAGGAATCATCTTTGGAAGGGATGGGGAATCTATTGGCAGGAGCTGAGGAGAAACAGTTTCCTGTCCCTCAGCCCCCACAGGCACACAACGGGTAAAACCAAAATGCTGAATGGACTCAAAGGACATAGAAAGGCTACAAGGCTTCAAGTGCAAAAAAAGAGAGAAATGGAGGACAAGTGGAACGAACTGTTTCTTTGTGATTATGTGAAGAAATAATCACATGCAAAAATGCCTTAAACTGTTGAACTAAAAGGTTAGAAATAAGAGCTACAAGGTAAGGATAAAAACTCTGATAAAAACATTTGGAACATTGAAAAAGTTCTCAAACTGGAGCGAGCTAAAAGTAGACCAAAGAAATTGGCAAGAGGTGTTATTATTAAAAAAAAAAATGAAGACTAATGCAATTATGCAGAATAAAACATTTTTGGTCGCACAAGGATAAAATAAAAGTGACCAGAACACAAATCATTTCAAAGATAGAGGGATAAAAATGAAAAAGTCAAAACTGCACCTGGTCCAAGGACAGAGAGCCCCACGGGCAGCCCTCACACTATTTGGAAGGCTATTCTAGATGACTTCCTTGTCACCTCCCCACCCCTGATTCTCTTCCCTGCTTCGGGCTGGCTGATTCTCTACCTGGAGCAGAGGGAGAAGAGCCCTGACAGTGCCAAGTCCCCTGGGCTCTCTGTGGCTGCCCCTGGTCCACAGGTGAACCAGGCCCAGCACCAGCAAGTTCAGCGAGCCTGGTGCCACGATGACCAGCTGGGTGACCTTGGGTGCATGTCTGACCTTGGGTCCTCATTGGAAAGCTTTTTGACCTTGCAGTCTTTCCTTGAGGTGCCCCATGAGCACTAGAGGAAGGGCCGCCATGGCTTCTACCTTTCTTGGGGGCTTTAGGATGGTAGAGACACACATCGTGAATACTGTGCACATACCACCTGCTTCTCACCACTTCCTTTCTGCCTTTCTGGCTTGTTTTTCCATTGCCTTTTCATTTCAACAGAGTCAAAGAAGGTCTTTCCAGGAAGGATCCGGAAGAAAAGAGGGAAGAAATTTCTCTCCAGCAGCTGGGAGCTTCTCCCCTCAAAGAAACCATCTAAGCTGCCATGAGAGCATGCTGGCAGCACCTCATCTGATGTCCAGACACCCTGGGGCTTTTCCTGATGGAGGGTGAGATTGGCCAAGGACCATGGTGGCTCTGCCAGCCCATGCCAAAGAGCTGTCCACAAACCAGGGCTGTGGTTACTGGTTACCACCAACAGCCAATTGATATCACAAATATGTACAAAGTCAAGAGAAACCATGTCCAGGGACCAAAGGAGGAACTCTTTTTCTTTCCCATCCCTGAATCGGCCCCTTAAAACCTCTGTTCAAAAAAAATAAAAAATTTAAATTTAAATAAATAAAGAAATAAAACCTCTTCATTTTTGTTCCACCCAAACACTGTGTCTTTGCAAAGTAAGAGTGGCTGACATTTGTGCCCCTGGTTGTCCCTGGGACAGCCTCACCCAGCTTGTCCTTGAGAATTCATTCTGCTCCACTCTGGCATTTACTCTGTCCTGCTGTATATAGAATTATTAAAGCTCTCTTCTATGTCTGTGACTTACCTTCTCAACTAGCAAGTGTGGGATTTGCGCAAGGCACATGCTTAGTAAGTAGTCGGTGAATACGTGGTGAAACCAGACTCAGGCAGTGGATAGAGACCTCTATCCATCACCAGCATTCCCAGCAATTCCACCTTGCAGAAACGGGTTATGGTTTGGTTTTCCAAAAGTCTCAGAGACAAACTCTTGCTGTCCCTCTGACCTCAGATCCATTTCCAGCCCAGATGTTGGACACGTGCCTGCATCCCTGACCTTTACCTTTATTGGAATTCAGATTGGGTTCATAAGGAATTCAAATTCTGGCTCACTGAATAGTCTTGGGTGAATTTCCTTGTCTGATCCCTTCCTCCTAGAATTGCCAGAGAATCAATGAGATCAGTGTTCCACCCCTAAAGCTCAAGAAAAAAGCACAATCTGGGGGAAAAGTAAGAATATCACAGTTTGGGCAGGAACCACTACATTATGTCATTTCACCAAGGCCATTTTTCAGCAGCTTACCCATTGGAACAGAGACTAAATGAGAATCCTCCAAAAAGCTGTCCTAAGGCATGAGCCTTGGTGCACCAAGTCCTCCATCCCTCCCATAGATTTAACCTCTCATTCGGCAATCCTTTATGTGGGCTTTTCTATTTGAGTTGTTGTCAGCCTATAGCTCTCAGCAGATCAGTAAATTTGAAAGGCAGAGGGATGCTGTCATACTTTAAGATTCACCTTGGGAGTCACCTCCTCCAGGCATCAGCATTCCCTGACCTTCCCTGCCTGCCTCTGGGCTCCGATGATTTCCTCCTCACATTCTCCCCACTGTGTTGTAATGGATTCATTATATGCTGATCTACCCTAGTGGCTCCTTGAGGACAGTTAGGCCATCTTTTTGTGTATATGTCATGGTCCACACATAGTAGGTACTCAGTTCATGTTGCTGGAGCAAATAGTCACGAGGATTAAAAAAAAGTGACCTGTCACTGCTGAACTCTGGGGGAGGAGGCAGAAAAACAAAATGGAAGACCTGGATAGAAAAACAAGATTTTCATACATGTTTTATTAAAAAACAGAATTTGAGGGATCCCTGGGTGGCGCAGCGGTTTGGCGCCTGCCTTTGGCCCGGGGCGCGATCCTGGAGACCCGGGATCGAATCCCACATCGGGCTCCCGGTGCATGCAGCCTGCTTCTCCCTCTGCCTGTGTCTCTGCCTCTCTGTCTCTCTCTGTATGACTATCATGAATAAATAAATAAAATTTAAAAAAAAACAGAATTTGGGTAAATTTGAAGATCTAATTGACTTTATTCAGCAATTCATAAAATAGGCAACAGCTTATCCAGAACATAGAAAGGAGCTCCGAGGATCTATACAAAACAGAAGACTTTATGGACAGAAAAGGACAGGGATACAGGGGTAATAAACAAAAGGAAGGATTATGTCGGGCATGGTCACCTTCCTTGAGGAGAAGAATGGGGGGTCTATCAAGCAGATGACCTCATTAGTGTTGATCAGGAAATTCAGGACTGATTGGTTTAAAATTCCACTCCTAGGAGAGGCTAAAACTTCAATTAGGTTAGGTATTAAGTCTTGGTTTGTTGGTATAGGGCTTAGCACAAGTGACTTCATGTTGGCCTGTTTCTTTTTTTAACAGCTCCCCTCTTTTGATTAGACTCTCAGCCTGAAAGATGTGATCAAAATTTAAGGCATTAGTGCCATTCTCAGCTACTGCTCTGTAGTTCTCATAGCCTTTACTGATCCTCTGGTTGACACAGAAGTCACGGGTCATGATGGTTTTTGCAAGGTTTTTGCTGAATCTCTGTTGTATTCACAAGTCATGACTTCAGGTTTACAATATTTTAGTCTTTATTCTTTTCTGATGTCCTAGTCTTAGGGCAATCATTTGTTTGATGCTTAACAGCTACGAACATGCATTTAAAGCTTTTGAGAAAAATCAACATGCCAGGAGATCACTATGGTTATTAAAAACAGGATAATTCCCAATGTCTAGAGTACGCTTCAGAGCCATGGTCCCCAAGACCCAAGCCAATCAGAATCAAATGAGTCAAGGACCCCTTTGTAGGAGTCACCTTTTTAAGCCAAGCAGCTCATTCAATGTAATTATGTAATTGTACGTAATTATGTACAATGGAGTTTATATAATGGAGTTTTAACTTCCCCAGAAGTGTTAATCCAGGTATAACAGGTGGTGTTGGCCACAGCACAGACACCTCGCTTGGCTAAAAGATCATAAAGGGTTATCCAAGAACAACTTGGGCCAGAGAATCTAAGGATTTTTGTTGGGTAGCTATTGCTTTAGCAGGAAATCCTGCAATATTTTCAAGAGTTAAGAAGAGGTTCCTGATTATAGCCTCATTTACATTTACTCTTAACTGGGGAAGTAGGGCCCTGCCAAAGGAAGCATAAATGAATCATAAATGCTTCCTGGTAATTCCTGCTTGATTCTGGACTGGAAAAGTAACACTCACAAAGCCAGTAAAAATTTAAAAGGCTGTAGACCACACAGGGAATTTTATTCTGGTTGCCTTTGCCTTGTGTCCCTTTCTTGGCATATGGCCTTGACACAGAGTCCCTCAAGTTTGGCATTATTAACCAGAAACAGTGAAATGGACCAAGGGGTCTCTGACATCATGGATAGGTCAGAGTTTTTGATGACAAATCCAGAAGTCTGAAAGATTACCCCCTTAGTGATGGCCTGGAGATACAGATGATGGTGTTATCTTTCTAGGCCATGCCAGAGTAAATGAAAGAAAAAGAAGAAAGGGTTTCATGTTTAATTAAAGTTTGAAGTTTTGATTCAGCATCTTGGGTGGAAGCACTCGATATCAGTGTCAGCTGCTTCTCCTCCTGGTCACTTTGGTTTGGAGATCTCCCGGGTCTGCACAGGACCATACGGACCCGGGATAGTCCCTTTGAAAGAGATTCAAGGGCAGTTCTTGTTCCAAGCAATTCCAAATCAGAAGGGTGGGAGAAAATTAGAAACATTTGGGGATATTCAGAAGAATGCACGATTGAGTCCAGTTTACAGGTATGTCCCAAAACCTCAAAGACAATGAACAGGATCAAAATCTATTATCTATACAAAGATGCAAACATTATTTTTCTCTCTACAGTCATCCCCTGCTTTTTCTTTCTTTTTTTTTACCAAAGATAATCACAGTAAAACTAACTTATTTGCATTCAACTTGGCCTGATTATTTACATAAGTGTAGCAAGAATAGTGATTGACATATAAGTTCTTTTTAAGATAGCTTTGTTTGAACTTTTTATAAGGATTGAACTCTTAAAAGATTGAACTCTTAAAAGCCCAAGTCTAGGAAGCCAAGCCAAGGTTAAAGCAGTTCCTTAAAGCTGCCTGGTCATATCTGAGCTTTGCATATCTTTCTCAAATATGACATTCCAAACAAAGCTTTGGTAATATAGCCAGTGTCTCCAATTGTGTCCTGTTACAAGGAGAATAGATTCTTGTTAAATTTATGTACATAATTAACTGTATTGCCATGAAAAGAATACTCAAGAGTTTCTGGAGGGATCAGGTAGGGAGAGAAAATTAATGTTTCACCTTTGTTTACAAAATTGCTATAAGCCATAGTAAGAGAAAAGAGAACAAAGTTTTCTTAAATATGGAAAAACAAAATGTTAAGAAACCAGCAATGTTTCAAACAAAAAGTCATAAAAATTATGATCATCCTCATCAGTTCAGTTGGTCCCATGTTAATTCTTATTCTGCTTGAATCTAGTTTTTTCCCATTAGTTCTGGAAATTCTTACCAGTTCAGTTTTATGACCTTAAAGTTATTTTTAAAAACAACAACAACAACAACCCTGTATTCTAGAGTACTTTCCATGAGTTTCCTTGAAGATGAAGTAGTTTGTAGGAACACTTTTGTAAAAGCATCAGGGTAAAATAATAACTCTAAATGACAAATATTTTTAAATGTCCATTATTAAAGACCTGATGAGAGTTCATTATAATGGAATTGACAAGAAAGTTTGGTTATTTCTGTGACACTCAACATTTTATTTTATTTTATTTTTTAAGATTTATTTATATATTTGTGAGAGAGGGGGGAGGAGGAGGGAAAATGCAAGCAGGGGCAGAGGGAGAGGGAAAGAGAATCTGAAGCAGACTCCCCACCAAGCATGGAGCCCAATGTGGGCACAATCTCATGACTCTGAGATCATGGCCTGAGCCAAAATCAAGAGTTGACCACTTAACTGACTGAGCCATCCAGGCACCTCTTTTATTAACTTCTTATTTGACAATGCTTCCTAAGTAATTTAACATATCAAATTAGCCTGATTAGTTTCACATCTCCCTTCATATAAAGAGAGAAAACAAACCTCTTGAGATGTTTGAAGGACCTCCAAAAAATCCCAAAGTTAGTTTGAGATCAAACAGACTTGGGACACCTGGGTCGCTCAATGGTTTGGTGCCTGCCTTCTGCCAAGGGCGTGATCCTGGAGACCCAGGATCGAGTCCCACATCAGTCTCCCAGCATGGAGCCTT